CCCTGGCCAGCGTTCACCGCCCCAGGGAGCTGGAGGCAGGGCTGGCTGGAGGTGCAGCCTGCTCCTCCGCATACCTTTCCCTGGCAGAAATCGGGGTGCCTGAGCTCCTTGACCCCTTGTTCCAGGCTATTCTCCTCCAGCTCCCCCAAAGTGCTTTCCCTCTTGCTCCCCTTTCCTCCAGCCCGTGGCTCCTGCCCAAATCCTCCAGCTCCCCAAGGCCTCACCCGAACAAGTCCTCTGCTCCAGACCAGCAGTGTCAGGCTGCAGGAGAGCTGGGGATCCCCTGGCTCTGATTCCCTGAGGAGTGGGGGCAGTGCAAAGAGGTTTCATAGGGCAGCCCGCTTTCTCCTCTGAGCGTGAGGAGAGATGACAGCCAGTGGGCAGGGGCAGTCAGCAGCTTCTCTGCTGGTGCAGAGAAGCTGATGGGCATTTGGAGAACAGAGGACTCACAGTTGGGCTGCCAGGAGCTGCACTAGCAAGTGAGGCCAAAGGCCAGGGGCAGAGGTTCACCAGCTCTGGGGAAGGGTGCATTGCACAGACACCATCGCACGCTGCCCTCCCGGGAACAACGTCCCCAGCCTTGGTGGAGCGGGCTGGGCTGAGATCCTCCCTCCTCACGGCCTTTCAGGAGCAGCCACCATCCCTTCCCAGAGAGGCTGCCACCTCTTCCCAGCTCCACATGTTGGCACTCCCCACCTCCAGTTCTCAGCTTTGGCTTTAGCAAGGGTTTTGTGAGGGGATGAAATGGCTTTTGTGTCTTTCTCAGCCTCCTCCTACGCCACATTCTGGGATCTCCCGGGGGTCTCTCCCTGTGAATATTGCACTGTGGCAACAGGGCACCTCCCAGCCCTTGGTGTGCTTGCTGCTGTGGTCCCCTTCGGCAGGGAAGCGCTGGGATCGCCTTGGTTCAGTGGGGAACTGAGGAACATGGTCGTTTGCTAAAGCCCTCACAGGTGAATGAGCAGAAATCTGACCTTCAGCATCTGAACTGCTACCCCAAAAGCACCAGCACCATCCGAATCCTGCAGATTACCTGGAAAGCTCCAGTGTCAAAGGTGTCCCCTGATGCCAGCACCTGGCAAAACTGCAGAGAAGCTGCATATTAACACAAACAAGAGCCACAGCCGGGCATCTGAGTGAGCGCTGGAGAAGTGCAGGCCCCAGCGGAGTGCCTTCCCGGAGTTACACGTCCCACCGTGCAGAGGTGCCCTGGGCTCCGGCT